AGTCAAACGTCTGTAATTTATTTTTGCCGGGAATTTAGCTGCTGTCGGTATTATCGGGGTGTCCGTTATAGCGGGGTGTCCGCAAGGCGAGAGTTGACTGTATCCCCTTTGTTGAGCTTTTGATCGTGTGAAGCGACCCCGGGGTCGGGATATTTGACTTTGACCGACAGAAGCCTGGTATCAGTTCAGAAGCGGTTGCCAAGTCTGTCCCTCGAGGCTTTCTGAAAGTCACGCTGTTGGATAAAGGTGTGAAGTTTTCATTTGTTTTAATCGCCATAATTCGATTCTTTAAACTGTCATCTAAACAGATAATGTCTATTTTGAGAAAGTTTTTATCTTCAAGTTCCCATCTGATTGTAAAACTCGATTGAAATCGAATTCCACCATGAAAGTCAGAGGATTTTTTGCGGGTCACTGATCCGACCCGTTCCGACATGTTGAGCAGATGTTATAAAGCATTGTACGTTTCATTGATATTATAATAGCACCAGGTAATAGCACGGTCAATCTTCCTGGAGAGATTTTGTTGTTCAAAATAAGAGATGCTAGTGGAGAGAGAAAATACTTAATTACAGCGAGAAATTTAACGGATCTTACGTTATCCTTTAATAAATAAAAGTAGTAAGAACGTACTTTTGAAATGTTCTTTTATTCGCTTTATATAGTATTATAGTATTGTTTGTTTAGATTTTTTCCCCAGGGGTGGGGGCTTTTTTTGACACTTTTGATTAACCTTTNTTTTTTTTACCTTTCCTTTCCCAATCTTAAGAATTTCTCTCAAACATCTTAAAACCTCCCCACCCCCCCCCTTGCCCGCTCTCCCACCCCCCCCCCCCACCCCACGGAGTTTACATTGATAGGTGCATCATGCTCAGAGCCCATTTGGGCTCGAGGAATAATTGTTAATTACCTTGACCTTGATTGTTCCAAATATCACAAAACCTCATCTATTAATTGTTTACTGTCTTGTGCTTTTGTCGCCGTTCAAATGTTTACGCAATGAGGTTGCTACGCAACCAAAAGAAACGACGGGCTCTGGGTACGAGAATGGGTTCTGTCAAAGACGTTAGACGTCTTCACGCAGCTAAATCTCCGCAAAGCGAGGCCGGAGGCCTCGTGTAGAGAGCTTTACATTCTTGTCCTTTACAGATTAAGCTGAGTGGCTCTGGGGACGAATGGAAAAGAGCCCTTTCTTCTACGAGGAAGGACGTCGCCGTTGCGCGCGGGGGAACATGGGAAGGATGTCTCGTAACTCTCTCTTCATCCCATATTCCCCTTCGTGTCGGATGCTGTGCTAGCCCCTCAAACCGCGACAAGCGACCACAGTGAAGGACTCTTCAACATGCAGACTAATGTTTGATAACAAAATTCGTTCAAGTTCGAAATTTGAGCTGATACTGATAATATTATAAATATTTCTTTAAAAAAGTAGATAACACGTGGCTTATTCAGGAATTTTTACTAAAACATTTTGTTGTTATTCTTTATCTTTAATCTTTAATTGACATAATTGCCTCTAGCGAGTTAATCTGGCAATGGACGGTCAGTACACGGAATTTCATGACATCGACAGCGAAATAAATAAACAAAATGAAAACAAATAAATAAAAAATACAAATAAAATTATAAGTCATATGAAAAAAACTGAATCGTCAATACATAAAATTATTACAAATACTTGAATGGAACGCAGCCCCAGAATCAGCACACTACGGAAGCGGCAGACAAAGCGTTCCAAGCGGGAACAGTTCTTACGAAAAAAGAATACTTGTGCGCGTTAACGATAGATGCGGTCTCGTAATATAATGCGCTCATTTTCCGGAGAGAAATCTACACACCAGACCAGGAGTGACCAGGCTCAATCAAATAGTTGCCATTTCTTTAAAGTCCATGAGGACTTGACTGACCAACAAAAAAGTAATATGTGTCATCTTCATAAAACGTTATATCGTTCGTGCGAGTTTTTAGATACAATGTTTTTGGTTTACATTTGTCGTGAAAGGCAGCCCATGGCTTTAATTTTTGATGGCTAGCCAGCGATATATTTTTAATATAAAGCTTTTGTCCGGGGGCAATAGTTATATTACCTACCGCTGAAGTGGTTATTAAAAGTAATTACAGTTAGCAACTTTTGCTTTACAGCTGCTGAGGGAAACGGAAATATGGATCGCAATTATAAAAGAAGTGTCTAACGCACGCTTTTTACAAGCTTTTAATGACTGGAGGAAGTGTCTTGCCTTGAAACGCACTTTTTCCATCAGAAAACAGGGTAGACCAAGGTGTGTATACATTTCTTCAAGTCAAAGGCTGATTTAAAGTCCCGAGGGGTACTCCCCTATACAAGCCATATAGGTTTCCGCCGTTCAGTTTTGGTCTGAAAACCGGTATTGTTTTCAAGGGAAACACGGAAGTGTACGAATGTATTTATTGTTTCAATTCCAAATGAGTAAGAAAGAAAGAGAAATATGTGAATTCGAAATGGATCATTTTTAAGAAATCTCTTTTTGTTACTGTTCTAATCTAAGTAATGATGACATAATTTCTTTAAGGGCAGGTTTGAGAATGGGTATGGATTTTAGAGTTCAGGTCAGAAAACGGGTGTGAAAAATGGCATTTTTTTGGTCTGAAATAAGGTCAGGATTTGGAGAACCGGGCGGCACGCGCCCCACCAAGAATTCCCAGGAGTAACCCCCGGGTTTAAAGTCTTCTAACGCATTTATGTTATGGGAATAAGGGCCAGCCCGAATCAGTCTATGCTGATGCCCATTCCAAATTCAGTTTTTTATACTACAATGTTAACATTAGCCTCCCACGCAGACGTTCTTAGGGGTTCGTGACGAACCCTTAAGAACGGGTGCGTGGGCGGCTATGTTAACATAGAAAACAACGCCAGACAAGAGAGCAAAACATGTCGGTAGTACGGTGAGAAATTTAATGAAACAAAGAGCCAGAAATCACTGGAATACCATGGTGTCCAAAGTAATTTTATTTTCGACGTCATCGCTTTTTGCTAAGTACTGAAGGAACGAGAGTTCGAAATTTAGTGGCTGCTATTCACTTATTCCTGTTTAACCATGACTCAATCTTCTCGTGAACTTGGCTGATGCCCTAACAATGTGCTATCTATTATTTAACGGCCTCAGTCTAGCGCCTCCGGGGTGTTAACGCTAATTACCGTAAATTTCTGGCACGTGGGTGTATTTAAATTTTAGCTATATCTCTGATGTCAGTGGGCCGTTTGTGATATTACACTTGACACAAATTTCAAGGTTTTTATGATTATAACAACAAGAAAACGTGGCGACGACAATTGTCGGAAAATCAGGTACAGGTTCAGTCATCAGTCAATTAGAGTCACGAGAGTTATATTATTTAAGCTGTTATTTTTCATTATATTTAATCTTTTTTTCGCGTTTCTTGTTTTAATACTGAGTTTAGAAAGGCGTCTAGTTGTGTTGGTAATTTAATAATTTGAAAAAATCGTTATTTTATCCATGGACATGGTCTATGTATTTTGCAGGTGAGTGTATTTAAAAATATCTATAAGAACAACAGAATTTTATAAAATTAAAGACCTAAGGGACCGGTCATTATTTATGTGGGGGGGTGGGGGGGATTTTTTTTTGTTTTAGCATGAAAGAAAAAACGTGACTCACCCCTTTAAGCCCATTAGTTAATTCTTGACCCACCCCCATATAACTTTATATAAGAGGTGACTCACCCCCAACCCCCTTCAATCTATACCTCTATAAGGAGTTCCTGTTCACTGAACGAAATCAGCATATCTTGTGGACCACTGTCCTACCCTGCGGCCACTTCTTGTTGATGTGCCTTCTTGTATTGTTACAGTATGACTGTCATCATCTGATTCACTTTTGCTTTCACTTTCATCACACAAAACAAGGTCATTGTCACTGTCACTCTCATCACTGTCCTCACCAACACTGTTACACTGACGCTTGAAGGAAATGTAGATTGATTCGCTTGATTTTGTCGATTTTCTTTCCGTTATTGCTAAGTTTATTATGCTCAATGTATTTGTCCAACTCGGGGGCTTTCAGAGTGTCAAGCTCCCCCTTCTCTACAAGTGTTTTCCAGTCATAGCAATGTACATCTTTTAAGGCTCGAACTTGCTTTTCTTT